TATAGTATGCCGACTCCCTTTTCTTTTCATCTGTCTTTCTCTGTCTTCCTTCCTTCCTTTCTTCTTTCCTTCCTTCCTTCCTTCCTTCCTTCCTTCCTTCCTTCCTTCCTTCTTTTTGAGACAGACCTTTTCTGTTGTAGCCCTGGCCATCCTGGAACTCACTATGTAGAACAGGCTGGTCTTGAACTCACAGAGATCTCCAGGGATGAACTGATTCCATTGGGTAGCAAATTGTACAACATCCCCGACATTTTAATGAAGACCTATCGTAGACACTACTCCTTGTGGAGGTAGGTACCCACTGAGGATGCGGAGCAGGTGTGATGAATACAGGGGATGAGAAGGTCAACAAGGGCTCCACACAGATGAGAGCTGCTCCTTTCAGCGGTTTGGGAACACAGGGTAACACTATGGGGTGCTTTCCAGGTTAGGGAAGGAAGGCAGAAAGACACACTCTGGGGTGAGGAGATACTGGAGACCAATGGCTGCTGGGGTGGGCTGCAAGCTTTCTTTAGAGATGCAGGCTCTGACTGGTTGCCCAGTGGATGGCCCTACAACCACGCTCATACTGGTAGCACGAGTGGACCCAGCGGTCTTTAAAAGGGTATTTATAATTGGGAGGGAGAGTGGAGATCAGAGAGTGAGAGGGATGTGCGTTTGATCATATTTTATGCATTTTATGCATGTATGAAATTCTCAAATAATAAATCAAAAAGTACATTTTAAAAAGTTAAGCTCATAGGAATTTTAAAAGACACAATTCAAAAGAGTAGAAAACATGAACTTCTCAATATACAGGATTGGATCGTGGTCAGGCAGGGGAAGTGGCTCAGTTGGAAAAGGGCTGCGGCACAAGTCTCGGGACCAGGTATGGAGATAGCTGGGTTCATCTGTAGTCCCGGCGCTGGGGTTCAGAGACAGGAGGCGCCCTGGCGTTCAGTGGTCAGGCAGCATGGCCAACTAGGCAAGCTCCAGGTTCACTGAGCACTCTGCCCCCCAAAATAGCGTGAAGAACTGTAAAGAAGATAGTCGGCCTTGAGCTCTGGCCTTCATGTGTACAGGTGCGCGCGCAACCCCTTCACGGTGCCTCCCACACGTACGCACCACACGCAGTGTTTGGTGGCTAATGTCGTCACTTTTCCGACTTCTCTCACTCTGGAGCTACACTGAGCCCCTGTAGTTCCCTTAGCGTCATGCACATTGGGCTTAGGGGGCACGGTGCTAAATGTGATCCGACAGCCTGAGCCGGATCACCAGAGCCCACGCGGGGAAGGGAGAGAACCACTTCCCCAGGCTGTCCCCTGATCGCCACACACCTGTCCTGGCACACATGTGCCCCACTTACACATAAATAAAGATGAACACATACTATGCTTTGGCAAAAAAAACAAAACAAAACAAAAATTGCCTTACCAAAGTTTTAAAAACTCTCAGGTAACTGTATCTCTCTTAATTAAATGGGTATTAAGAATTTAAACACATAGCAATGCACCTATAAAACTGAGGAGCGAAAGGATGATAAAACCCAAAAACACCTGTCTAAAACCAGGCTAGAGTCCAAGACCAGTGATGGGAAAAAGCCACCACCACTACTGCCATTATTTATTTTATTAATTTATTTATTTATTAATTAATTAATTTATTTTTTGAGACAGGATTTCCCTGAGTAACAGCTCAACTGTCCTGGCACTCACTCTGTAGACCAGGCTGGCCTCGAACTCACAGAGTTTCACCTGGCTCTGCCTCCTGAGTGCTGGGATTAAAGGCGTGCACCATCACTGCCTGGTCCATTTGTTATTTTTTAATGACTCAAAAAGTGCCCCAAAACTCCCCAGCGAAGGGGCATCTACTTTCAGATATCCACTGCATAAGTGACCCCAGGTGTGGCCTGGTTTGGAACCAAGGATGCAGCAGCTGCACGTAATTGCAGGATTTATTGCAGTTACTAAGGACTAAGGGCTGTTTATGGGCTCAAAGAGGGCAGGCCACCCCACCCCCACTCTGCCCCCCACCCAGTCCCTGAGCTGTCCAGGTGCAGGTTAAGTTTAGTTCCATCTGGGCAAGGATGGGGGTGGGACCAGCTGCCCACTGTAGCCTTGAAATTGAGGCCTTTGCTCGTTGACGGCCTGGCTCGTCGGTTGCACCTTTTGCAGGAGGCTGGGTTTGCCCGTTTCTTTCACATCCTTCGGTGACTTCGGCCTGGCACAGGGCTGTGTCCTCGTGGACACCCTGGAGAGTGGCTTCTGTTGCCACTGGACAGAGGCTGCGAGAACTGGTTCTGAGCCTCTGTGTCTCATAAAGTTCTGTCTCTGTGGAGGAGGCAAGTTTGGGAGTCAGGCCTAAAAGAGCAGAGGTAAATATGAGCAGGGACCCCCTGGGGACATCTGAGGCGCCATTAGTGGCCCCTGGGAGCTGGCTTTGCCTGCTCCTGAGAACAGGCTCTCACCTGTGCCTCAGAAGGAGTGTCCCAGCAGCTGCTCCCTCATGAGTCTGTTTGGGGGCCGTGACCCATGTTCAACAAACTTCCCTCAATTTCTAGGGTGTTCTGCAGCCTTTCCCAGGTTTATCTGCGAAATCAAGGGGAGTCTTGGGGGGGTGGTGACAAGAAAGTAGCTATTTGACATTGTGCTTTGTTTTTGTTTTTTGTTTTTTAAAGAAAGTTCCCCAGCAGTTTCACAGAGGTCTCTGAGAGACCCTCCATCTTCAAGGGCCTTTGCCGATATTCTTGCCATGTCGGGCCGGGCCAGGACTCTAAGCCGCGGCCGAAGCCAAGCCCTGGATATCACACAGCCTGAGGCGCCAGGAGCAGCTGCCGGCCCTGTAATGTTCCATATTTCTTTTCACACAAAACTGTGGGCCTGGGCGTGGGAGACCCATGAACCATTGCCAGGAGGTCAGGATGGGTGGGAAGGCCGGCTCTGACTCTCTCTCGAAGTTCGTATTTCCAATCTAGAGTCCATGCAGGGCAGCAGTTCTCAGCCTTCCTAATGCTGCACCCCTTTAATACAGTTCCTCATGTTGTGGTGACACCCCTCATCCAAAACACTTTTTTTCATTGCTACTCCATAACTATAATTTTGCTACTGTTATGAAACATAACGTAAATATCTGATGCCCCGGATGTCTCAGATGACCCCTGGGAAAGGGTCCTTTGACCCCCGCAAAGAGGTTGTGACCCACAGGTTGAGAACTGTGGTTTAGTGTTTTTAACTGCCCTGACTTCAGCCAAGGTTCTTAGTGAAGGCAGAGCCTGTCTTTATCACTTGTGACTTGTGACCCAAGGTGTGACCTGCTCTTCTATGCTATGTTCGCCTAGCCTTTGTGAATGGCCACCATTGCTGGTGAGGTCTCTTTGGCAACTGTCAATGGACGCCATGCTACCTGGACATCCAGGCTTTGCTGTTTGATCCCTTCTATCTCTTTCCTGTCCCCAACCCCTACCCCCCTTTCTAGACCCATTCTCAGTCTCTAACATCGGCTTGTAGCTCAGAGGTGACTCTGAAGCCCGTATCAAATGCTCCCCCTCTGGCCTCCCTAACCTCCCTCAACAGCGTCCCTGTGATCTACCCCCAGGGAGACCCTAGGTGGAGAGAGTAATCGCACTGCCTGCGTAAGTCCTGTCAATTTCTCACACAGAGAGAGGTTGGCAGGCGGGGTCTCCTTGGCAACCTAGGCCAGCTGTCCTAAAGCAAAGATCACCTACACCTACGGCCACTTCAGCAGCCCCCAGGCCAGGCACACCTGCTTCGGTGCTCCCTCGGCCCCCAGCCGGTTTCACTAAGCAGAATTGCCCACATCTGTGTGCATTACGAGGTTCCTCTCAGGAGTCTTTCTCTGAGTGCTGCTGCAGAGCTGACAGCTGGACTCTGTACCCACAGGCTCCAGAGAAGCTGCCTCATCCGCCTCCCAGCACCCCCTCCTCACCAAATACAGACTGCTTGCTTTCCTGGCCTCAAATTTGTCCTTTTGTTGTGGCAAGATGGAGGCGGATCACTTTCTTCTCTGACTGCCGCGCCCACTAGTCACCCTTTCTCCAGGCCTTTGCACCAGGCCTCTTCTCCCCTGCCCTAGGATACTCTAATGCTGGTCCCAGCCAGCACAGCGGCTTTCCGTGCTGTCTTGTGTGTGGACTCACGCTTGTGGTCATGCCACCAGGCAGACTCCATCCTGACCTCCCCCCAGAGATGTCACGGACACTTTGCCTCCCTGCTTCTTCCACAAGCCACTCCCACCTCGAGCAAAGGAATCCTGTCATTCACTTGCTCTGACTAGTGTCTTCAGATTCCTTCTAGAGCCTTTGTTCCACTGTTGTTTCCTTTGCATAACTTCCCAGTTATGCCCGCCTCCTCTCTGTGTCTTTTTATGAGGGAGGGTCTCGCTTCGTAGCCCAGGCCGACTTTGAAGTTGGGTGGTTGTTTCGACCCAGGCACTAATGTGGCAGTTAGCTGTCATCATACCAGTCCCCTAGGTTACTTTAAAAATTTGCCCGTTAGCAGAATGTAAGCGTTTTGAAAGTTAGGACTTGATTATAGCTTTTGGATGAGAAATGAATGCGGGGAACCCTGCTCTTCATTTCTGTTTTCACACACATACAGGCCACCTCACAGTGGAGAGAGTCACAGCCACCCAGGGCCTGGTCACCACAGCTGCAAACCCAGCTACGGCTACCCAGAGCCAGGCCACCACATCCAGGAACCCAGCTACGGCTACCCAGAGCCAGACCACCACAGCCAGGATCCCAGCTACGGCTACCCAGAGCCAGGCCACC